CCATGATGTGATTATGGAGTTGTGACCTGTGTGTAAGGTTCATGTGTTTTGGGTGGCTTCGGCCGTGTATTGAACGGTACCCTTGTGTACTATGAATCGGTGGATATGTTGGAGATTGTCGGAGTGGGGACGACGGTCTTTAGAGGCATAAGGTTGGACTTGGATGTACAGGGGTTCTGGAGGTAATGGTTGGAACTAGCTATAAGGTTGGGGGTAGCCATAATGTTGGAACCGGGCATAAGGATGGAATATTGAATTTGTGATGAGTGATATCACGTAGGCATGTGTGCCGATGTGTGTTTCTCTATTCGTGATGAGTGATGTCACGAAGGCTTGTGTTACCGTTGCGTGTTTCTCTATTCTTACTTGTTGAGTATGTCGGGTGGTATTCTACTGGGTGATGGTAGAATACACCTTGAGTTGTACTTGTGCTATTGTTGTCATGTCTTAACGTGTTTTGGGATGTGTTTCCCCTTGTCCTTGTTGTGAGTGATATAGAGTCTTTGCGGTTGACTTCTATCTCTGGCTTTGAACTGATATATACAGTATTCCGTTTCGAGAATGATTTTGTATTGAACTATCTATCTATATATGCTATTGACGTATTGATGGGTTACCAGCATAATTCGCTATCCGGGCGTCGTCCCATTTCTTTATGTGCTTTTCAGGTCCTGAGTAGTCGGCGAGCGCGTTAGAGATGGCTAGATTAGACTCCCTGGACTGATTATACTGTGTTTTGGGCCTGTGTGCCTCTTTTGTTGAATACATTAGATTGTTGTTGTCGGTTTTTGCCTGTGCGTTCACATTGATGTGAACGTGGCATAACACTCCCTTTTTCCCGGTTTTTATAATAGTAGACTTCCGCTGTGCTATGCTTTATGTTTTTGTGGTTAATTGTCGTGCATAATTAAATTTAAAATGGCATGAAAATCGGGGGGGGGGGGGGGGGGGGGGTGTTACAGTTGGTATCAGAGCCTAGGTTTGAGCCTAGGATGCTAGAGCCTAGACTTTATAAGCGGCTAAGTGTGGTTTGAGACCCTAAGCGACCGTAAGAATCTAAGTGTTTAGGACTTAGGACTCTTAGGACGCGCAGTGAGCTGTGTGTTGTGTATAGTTTGCTTGCTTGCTTGTCGTTTTGTTTCGTAACAGTGTTGTTGTTGTAGAAGCTTTGTGATGATGCCGCCTCGCCAACGTGCGGTATCGCCTGACGATGTTAGCAAAGTGGTTAATAAACCCAGGGTGGCGGGAGTTCGCAACACTCCCAGTGTCGTTGAGCAGTGGATCAGGAGCAGTACGTCACGCGGGTAAGCCCCAGTGATGCTACGGTACCTCCGCCTCGTGATCAAGGGCCGATTGGAAGTTTGGGTGTTCAAAACTCATCGGGAGAGCCGTCACGTGCAAGGTTGCAAAAATCGCGCCTAGGCGCCGATTAATCGACGCCTTGGCGCTAGACGGTAGGAGGCCGCCGCGAGGAATGGCCTCGGCGGCCTCCTCCGCGGCCGGCTAGGCGGTCTAGACGGCTGCCTAGACCGCCTAACTGGCCGGTTCGGCGAATTTTTTTTTTTTTTTTTTTTTGAAAATGTCGGAAAACTTTCGGAAGGCATAACTTTTGACTCGGTTGTCCGATTTGGACAATTTTTTTTCAAATCGCGTAGCGTTTCTAAAAAAAATGCTTCTTTAGCTCTTAATTTTAGGTTTTTATGTATTTAGATGGTTTAAACATTCTTTTGAACAATTTTACAACCACTTTTGTAAATAGTTTCTAAGAAATAACTATGGAAACCTTATATTTTAGTACTAAATTTTGAAAATTTTTAATTAATTTTTTTTTAATTAAAAAAAAAATAAAAATAAAAAATCGGCACCTAGGCGCTAGGCGCCCCCTTGGCGCTTAGGGGGCGCCTAGCGTTTTTTGCAACATTGGTCACGTGAGAAGACTCTTGTCTTAAGCGAAGCTCAGGCTGGGGATGGCGATGTAGTAACATGAACATTTATGGTGCAGTCGCTTCCGGCCGTGATCCTGTTCGACTCCAGTGCATCCAACTCGTTCGTGTCGCCAGGGATCGTGAGGAAGCTAGGCTTAACCGATGGCGTTGAAGTGAAGCTGAACGTGAAGGTGGCTTCCAGGGAAGTCAAGTCGTGCGACCGCCTCTTCAAAGACGTTAAGATAGTCATCGGTGGAGAAGAGTTTCCGAGTAATCTGATCCAGTTCGGCCTGGACGGTGTAGATGTAGTCTTGGGCATGGATTGGCTGGGGCAGTTTAAAGCTCAGATCCTTTGTGGTGAGCAGAAAGTGGTACTTAGAGGACTAAGCGGGAAGAGGTTGTCTTATCGGGGAACAACGGTGGAGTCCGGGGTCAAGTTGGTGTCGATGTTAAGGATGAAGAAGTACCTTGAGAAGGGTCACGGAGTTTATCTGTGTTCCGTCGAGGATTTGAAGGCAAAGGGAGATGTGGCTCAATCAATACCGGTGGTGCGAGAGTTCCTTGACGTGTTTCCCGAGGAAATCCCGGGCATGCCTCCTCCGAGAGAAGTTGAATTCTCGATAGATTTTGTACCGAGTACGGCGCCTATATCGAAAGCTCCCCATCGTTTAGCGCCCAAAGAGATGCAAGAGTTGAAGACCCAGTTGCAAGAGTTGCTAGACAAGGGCTACATCCGGCCGAGTACATCACCGTGGGGAGCGCCGGTGCTTTTCGTAAAGAAGAAAGATGGAAGCATGAGATTGTGCATCGATTATCGTGAGTTAAACCAAGTAACGATCAAGAACAAATATCCACTACCGAGGATCGACGACTTATTTGACCAACTCAGAGGTGCAAGGGTATTCTCCAAGATTGATCTAAGGTCAGGCTATCATCAGTTGAAGGTGGCGGATAAGGGCATACCTAAGACGGCGTTCAGAACTCGCTATGGACACTACGAGTTCACGGTGATGCCGTTTGGATTGACTAATGCACCAGCAGTGTTCATGGACCTGATGAATCGGGTATTCAAGCCTCACCTTGACAACTTTGTGATCGTGTTTATTGATGACATACTCGTCTACTCTCGAGATAGAGAAGAACATGAAGGGCATCTCCAGACAGTACCCCAGACTTTACGGGAAAAGCAACTGTACGTCAAGCTCTCGAAATGCGAATTTTGGAGGGATAGTGTGGCGTTCTTGGGTCATGTAATCGACAACAACGGTATCTCGGTCGATCCGGATAAGATTCGGGCGGTGAAAGAGTGGGTTGTGCCGACGACAGTGGCAGAAGTAAGGAGTTTCTTGGGATTAGCTGGGTATTACCGAAGATTTGTGTTGGATTTTGCCAAAGTGGCCCAACCTTTAACTAAGTTGCTAAGGAAGGATGTGCCGTTTCAATGGAATCAAGCTTGTGAGTCAGCTTTCCAGGAATTAAAGGAAAGGCTCACTACCGCACCTGTGTTGATTTTACCATCCGGGACTGAGGGGTTTGAGGTATACAGTGATGCATCCAAGAAGGGACTGGGATGCGTGTTGATGTAGAACGGGAGAGTAATTGCCTATGCTTCAAGACAACTCAAGGTGCACGAAGAGAATTACCCAACTCACGACCTGGAGTTAGCGGCAGTAGTCTTCGCCTTGAAGATCTGGAGGCATTACCTATATGGAGCACGTTGCAAGATCTTTACAGACCACAAAAGTCTCAAGTACATATTCACGCAGAAGGACCTTAACATGCGTCAAAGACGTTGGTTGGAACTTATCAAAGATTATGAGCTGGACATTCAATATCATGAAGGGAAAGCAAATGTGGTAGCTGACGCCCTGAGCAGGAAGTCCAAGCACGCTGTCAGTTCCATTTGGGTTGTGGCTGATGAGCTTTGTAAAGAACTTCAAAGGATGAACTTGGAAGTGGTGAAGCAAGGTGAAGTAGAGTCGGAGACTAGTCTTTTCAACCTTCGGATTGTGCCTACTCTGGTGGAAGAAATCAAGAAAGAGCAGCTGAAAGACATTAGTTTGATGAGGATGAGGGATGACGTGGTTAAAGGAAGAATAGGACCTTTTGAGCTATCTCCTGACGGAGGATTGAGATACAAGGGCCGTTTGTGTATACCCGCATCATGTGATCGGTTGAAGCATCAGATTCTTGAAGAAGGCCGCAACACACCTTATTCGGTACACCCCGGGGGTGACAAGTTATATAAGGATGTGAAGAACCTCTTTTGGTGGCCCAATGTGAAGAAGGAAATAGCGGAATTCGTTGGTCGATGCCTAAATTGTCAAATGGTCAAGGCGGAGCGCTGTAGAGTTAAGGGTTTGGTGCAGCCGTTGGAGGTACCGCAAGGAAAGTGGGATTCCATCTCCATGAATTTTGTGGGAGGCTTACCGGCGACCCGCACTGGCAAGGACAAGATTTTGGTAGTAGTGGATCGGTTAACCAAGACTGCTCGGCTTATAGCAATGAAGAAAACATGGACAATGACTCACTTAGCCCGAGCCTATGTTAATCAAGTGGTGAAGTACCATGGTGTGCCACAGGATATCGTCTCCGACCGGGATCCGAGGTTCCTATCACAGTTTTGGATGTCGTTACAAGCGGCCATGGGGACGAAGTTGAGCCTTAGCACCGCTTTCCACCCCGCCACGGACGGACAGACAAAAAAGGACCATCCAGACAATTGAAGACATGTTGAGATCATGTATGCTGGATTTTCAAGGGTCGTGGGAGGATCACTTGGATCTAATAGAGTTCTCATATAACAACAGTTACCACTCAAGTATTCGTATGACACTGTATGAGGCCCTTTACGGTCAGAAGTGTCGCAGCCCGTTGTGTTGGGAGAATATGGTCAATCCAGTGGTGTTAGGTACACAGTACCTGCATGACACTGTGGAGAAAGTTAAACTCATCCAAGGAAGGATGAAAGTGGCTCAGGACCGTCAGAAATCATATGCCGATTTAGGAAGGAAATAAGTGGAGTTTGCAGTCGGGGACAATGTTTGGTTAAAGGTCTCTCCCACCCGGGGAGTTATGAGGTTCGGCAAGAAGGGCAAGCTAAGCCCTAGGTTCATTGGACCTTATGAGATACTTGAGAGGATTGGAGGTTTAGCTTATCGGTTAGCGCTACCTATGGAGTTGGAGCGAGTGCATAATGTCTTCCACGTGTCCCAGCTAAAGACGTATGTGCATGATCCGATGCACATAATACCACTAGAGGTGATCCCTCTAGATGATGACATGTCTTACGAAGAGAGACCACTTCGGATTTTGGATTTCAAAACCCGGGAAACCCGCAGGAAATCGATGAAGATGGTAAAGGTTTGGTGGTCACATCACGGTGTAGAGGAAGCTACGTGGGAGTTGGAGTCGGCTATGAGGGAGCGTTACCCAGAGTTGTTCACCTCAGGTAACCCCGTTTTCCTTTCCTCGTTGTTGCTACCGTTTGCTAGTTGCTTTGTTGTTTGCCTTGTGAGTTCATTCTTGTTTGCTTGTTGTGTTGAGTAGTTAGCTTTGTGGGTTGTGCTAGGAGCTAGTTGTTTAGACCTTTGGTGTTGGCTAGGAAGTTTGGTTGTTGAGTTTGGCTTTAGTGTTTGTGATGCTCAAAGAACTCCGTTGGTTACTTCGTTCCAACCTTTCAATACCATGACTTCTTGATCATCTTTGTACCTTTTGAATCCTTTAAGTTTTGACCAAAAGGATGTTCTTGACACTCTTGTCACATTGTTGCTTCGTGTTGCCATTTTGTTTTGATACGTCGTACCCAAGCTTCGGGGACGAAGCTTCGTGTAAGGGGGAGAATATGTGACACCCCGTAAATCCAAATTCTATTTAAGGACTAATTAAGTAATTAATCCTAGCTTAATTGATAATTTAATTCCTAAAATCCTGAAAATTCAATAGTCGGGGACTAGAAATTGACTAGTCAACCCAAGTCAATGAGTTGTACTCTAAGCTTTGTGAATAGTTCTGTAACACCCCGTGTTACGGCCTTCAATCCCGGATTAATTATTTAATTAATCCCGTTAATAATAATTAAATACGATTTAATTCGGTTAGGTTTCCCTTTAATTAATTAATGAGGTCCACCATGAACCGTGGACCCTTGCCTAAATGAGAGTCTTAGGCCTATTAGGAATAAAGGAAGTAGGCCTTTTACTATTCAGATTATGATTAGGATTCTCTTTAATTAATTAATATGGTCCCTTATGGACCATGGACCCTTATCCCTAAAACAAAGTCCTTAGTCCTATAAGGAATAGAATTAGTAAACCCATACCATTCAGGCCCTAATTAGGAGTCTTAAATATATAAATAGGGATATAGAAGGCACCTAGATCTTTCACCACAATAATCTCTCACCACACAAGAACTTCCAAGAATCTCCTTAGGAGAAATCAAGAAAGAAGAAAGCTTAAAGAAAGACCCTTCATAGCCAAGGAATTAATTAAGGCTAAGAGGTAACCCATGTCTCAACAAAACCTATTTTCATAGCTATGATTCCCCTCTTAGGATTTCCCCATATTATTGTATATTGATGATTTGTGATATTATTATTATTGGGATGATTCCATGGGTGATCTTGATGATAATTATGATGTTCTTGATGATTATATGACGTTCTTGATAATGATATGGTGTTCTTGATGTTCTTAATGATTATATGAGGTTCTTGATAGTTATATGATATTCCCACCGAATCTTGATTTTGAAAGATGAATTGTGTTCTTGTTGATTTAAAAATAATTAGACCCCTAGGTTATGTCGTGGAATCCGTATGGTATTATTCTTGGTATATTGGGTGGGAATTCGCATGATTGGGTGTTGATTATGTTTAGAAAAGCATGATAGGTTATGTGCCGTATGTTTCTTGATTTTGATCCATTAATTGTCTACGTGTGCTATCAATTGCGTTTGAAAGTGTCTAAGCATGGTTTCGGGTTCCACAAAGGTTCCCGGGGCGTTTTTGGTGAAAAAGAGTCAGTGGGGGGTAGGGGACCCGCCACCTACCCACGGCCTAGTCGGGCAACGCCGGCAGCGGGCAGCTGCCCGCCGGGCACCCGCTGCCCGGAATAGTAAAACGCCGGCGGGCAGCCGGCGGGTGACTCCTCACCCACCGGCTACCCGCTGGTTTGTACCCCTCTTCGGGACCCCGGCTTCCCCGTTTGATGTTCCCCCGACTCCCGTGGTGTCCCAACGGACTTCGTCTATCGTGCCTATGTCTAGTTTGATTTTCGGGTACCGTTCGTAGGTCGTATGAGTCTTATACATTGCATGCTAGTTGAATTGGTATCCCGTTGACCTAGGTGAAAGAAGTATGAACCCCTTAGGACTATTCTTAAAATGTGAAGGATCACGCATAGGTTTTGGTATACGTTTTCTCCCCCTTCCCAATGTGCTAATGTGGGCTGCAGGTGCTTGCTATGTGTTATGTGTGCATGTTACCCCGTTTTGGTTGAGATCAATCGGGCTATACGGGCAGTCGGGTGGGCTGAGAACCATACCGGCTGTTAACCAGGCTGGTAGAGACCGGTCAGGTATATAAATATTATATAGGACTAAGGTCCACTATACGGGCAGTTGAATGGGTTGAGAACCATCCCAACTGTTAACCAGGTTGGTAGAGACCGGTTAGGTATATAAATATTATATAGGACAAAGGTCCACTATACGGGCAGTTGAATGGGTTGAGAACCATCCCAATTGTTAACCAGGCTGGTAAAGACCGGTCAGGTATATAAATATTATATAGAGCTGCGGCTCATCGGTCGGTTGCGATCGACCCCTCCGTAGTGTGAGACGGGGCAGGGTGCTGCGGGGCCGTGTCAGAGCTATATGCGCTGACCCTCATGTATGGTCATGCGATTGGTCCTGTGGCGCCAACAAAGTGTGCTATATGATGAGATAAGAAGGGCTGATGTTGTGACTGTTATAGGGCTCTCGCTAGTAATGCTTAGTTATGATTATTAATTGTGCTTATCTTATCTGTCTCGCCTGTTGTAAACCGTATATGCTTGGTATAACTGCTGTCTGTGCTTAGCCCTATCTGTTGAGTCTATCCCTGTTTTAAAAGCTAGAGTTCTTAGGAGATATCTTCATGTTCAAAATGACTTTTCGTATATCTATATATATATATATATATCTATATGTATTGTATTTCAACGCGTTGGAGTGGGTTACCAGCATCTCTCGCTGAACAGATATATTTGGCTTTCAGGCGCAGAAGAATAAGTCACTGGAGCGCGCTAGAACTTGGAGCGTAGAAGTAGATAGTTTCCCTTTCGGTCTGCATGCCATGCTTATGCATTTACATTATTGAGGATATTAGTTAGTTTGCCTGTGCACCAGAGTTCTCTAGCTCAGGTGTGGCATAGCACCCCGTACTCTTGTATTATGTTTTGGGATTTAATGAGATTTCACCTTTATTTTATAAGTTTTAAGTGTCTTGAAAATCTGGGGTGTTACAGTTGGTATCAGAGCCTAAGTTTGACCCTAGGATAAGACTATTAAGACCGGACTTTAGGACATTAGGCTTGAACTCTAGGTATTAAGGAACATAGGATTCAGGAATCTTAGGACGCGCGGTGAGATTGTGAAACCTACACATAACCTCCCCTCACTTTATCCCTCTCTAAAAGAACTCCCCCTACGCTTACCACACCAAGGTAAGGGTGCAGCACACTGACTCATCATTACAATAAATATTGACCTTGAAAACCAGCAGCATGGCGCCAATAAGAAGACAGTCAAGGATCCCACACTCCTCGAAGAATGAATCCGAACCTTCAACAAAATCCTCGGGTTAGGAGAATGCCCAGAGGAACGCCACGTAGAGATAGCCTCGTTCTACTTCAAGACACGAGGTTGATCTTTGATAGGTCCACAAAGAACTTATGGGCAACAACCGGGGGTTCAACTAAGAGTACCTAGGGGCACGGCTACAAGGACGACTCCACCCCGCACCCGCCATACTCATGGACCCCATGAACCGAGTATTCCGACCCCACCTGGATGACTTCGTCATTGTATTCATTGACGACATCCTAGGCTACTCCCGAAACAAGGAAGGACATGAAAAGCACCTCCGCATAACCTTACAAACTCTAAGAGAGCACCAGCTATACGCTAAGTTCTCCAAATGCGAATTCTGGAAAGACAGCGTGACCTTCCTGGGCCACGTAATAACCAAAGAAGGAATTAAGGTAGACCCCACCAAAGCCCAAGCCGTTAAGGAATGGTCCACACCGAACTCACTTTCAGAGGTCCGAATCTTCCTGGGCTTGGCTGGCTACTACAGGAGGTTTGTACCCGACTTTACCAAGATAGCCCAACCTCTCATTAAACTCATGAAAAAGGAGACCCCTTTCCGATGGGACGACAACTGCGTCGCAGCTTTTCAGGAATTGAAGGATAAGTTAACCACGGCACCCGTACTAGCCATCCCCTCCGGGGTGGAAGGGTTCGAGGTCTTCAGTGACGCGTCCAAAAAGGGGTTGGGGTGCGTGCTAATGCAAAAAGGCAAGGTAATAGCATACACATCTAGGCAACTCAAAACCCACGAAGAAAATACCCCACCCACGACCTCGAGCTAGCCGCCATCGTATTCGCACTGAAAATTTGGAGGCATTACCTATACGGAGTGCAATGCAAGATTTACACAGACGCATAGAAAGTATCATACAACTAGAGCCTCCCGGCAATAAGGGCCTTCCCTTGGAACAAGGACCTTGATGGTTTTAAGGCACCGTAAGAAGTACATGTAACACACAAAATCGCCAAAACACCATGCGACGTCAAAGGGCAGTCAATCAAATGCATTCCAAGGAAGAGAAACGCATCACCAAGCACTTGGTCACCAAAGGATTGAACAAAGAACGAGCGACAAGCCGAACTCCAAGAAAAACCAAGAAGGCTTGTCATCAATCAAGCAAGGAAAAGACAAAGTTGGCTTATAACCAACTTCCCGGTGAAGGTGACGAGGTTGCTAATTGGAAACCGGACCCGACCTACTGAACGGAAAGAACATGCGAGAGTCTTGACTCATCTATAACTTGTACTTAAGGATCAATAAAACTATACGATGGGTCATCCTATGTATTCAAGTACCTTTTTATTGTGCACATGGGCATGGGGCTTGTCGGGACTTGAATCGGTGCATTCTTGGGATTTTTCCCGAAGAAATTCACTCTTCCTAGTCACCTTCCCGCGGGTCCCCAACGGGACCTTGATGGGACCCTAACGGGTCCTGGACGGGACCTTGGCGGGACCTTGACGGGTCCTTGACAGGAGCTTGGCAGGCGGACGACCGCCCACCTCGCGCCCACCGGTACAATGTGCTGATTTCTTAACCCCTCGTTTTATTGATTCGTGGCACACTTGTGTGCCTCGATTGATGAACGCGAGTCTTGGGTAAGGAACCATGGGTCGCCCAAACATGGTGTCATCGGTAAAAGACCTTGACACGCAAGACACCGTCGGAAAAACACAACCAATTGCATTACACGTGGAATTGAAGTTGGATTCTACGATGCAACCG